GATTATACCGTATCTTAGGACAACTGATTTTGTAGGCAATGGGCCTGGGACCTTCTTCAGGCAGGCTTGTTCAAAAAATGACAAATACTGTTTTTTTCAGAAAAAAGGTTTTTTGCTCACTTAGCTTTCGACAAAAGATATATTTACATAAAATATACAGTGAATAAATAACTGATGGATAAGGTAAGTAGTATTATCAAGGAGATCTGTCTCTGAAAAAAGGCTTTATAATGCCAGCAGATTAGATGCTGTCTCTAGGTAGAGTAACAAGCATCCAAGTAAATGACAGTTGGAGCTGGCCTCTTTTAAAAGGTAGGGGGGGCGGGGCTTATCAGTTTTGTTCAAAAAGAACCAATCCGGTCTTTAGAAAAGTAAAATTAAATATAAAATTGTTTAAAATAATCTAAAATATGTAAAATAATATGTAATATATTATATATTATATTGCCAGTGGTTTATTTTAAAGAATAAAATTATAGTTAGCTACTTTTATAATATTTCAAGCCTTTTATGTTTTAAATGTCATGCCTGTGTACTTTTTGTAATTAAGTTTGTGTATGTTGCATATTTAATTATAATGTGGTTTGTTTTTTCTGTTAATTTTATTTTTTTGATTATGTAAGAGGCCAGGGGAGAGGAGTCGAACCGGCAAGGGACATTACTAACTTAGCAATTCAGGTATTGTTATGTGACTTTTCTGGTATCATCTTACTAACGTAGCAATTCAGGTATTGCTATGTGACTTTTCTGGTACCATCTTACTAATTTAGCAGATTAGTAATTGTTATGTGACTTTTCTGGTATCATCTTACTAACTTAGCAATTCAGGTATTGCTATGTGACTTTTCTGGTATCATCTTACTAACTTAGTAATTTAGGAATTGCGACGTGTGTTTCCTGGTATCATCTTACTAACCTAGCAATTCCGGAAGTACTAAGTGTTTTGCCTCAAACTAACATTAGGAGGCGTCACGGCCGAACCGTATGACCTACACGTCTGACCTTTGGCATGCATAAACTAGATCAGCTCAGGAACAAGTGTGCTAAGTTTTATGACTGTGACCTTTACGGAAGGCCTACAGTGACCTCTCGAATTTGCTATGGTCGGCAAGGCTGTTTAGGCCCGTGTAGGCCTCAAACTAACTTAAGGGGGCATAACTGCATGACCGTAGAAGCTAGGAAGATGGTTCAAAGTGTTCCTGAACCTAGACGGTCATTAAAATTATGCTTCCTTAATTTGAAAATAGACTTTCTTTTATCTGCCTAGAGGGAAGATCTTTAACCAGATGATCGACTCAGTTTCTCAGACGACATTACGTGGGGGTCACGGCCAAGCCGTACAAGCTAGAGGTCTGAAATTCGGCAAGACAAAACTAGATACCCGCAGGAACGAATGTGCCGAGTTTCGTGACCGTAGCTCTCACCCGTGTCCCGCAGTAAACATTGCCTACATACTCAAATTTAAAAATTAAGTTAATGGCTGCTTTTGACAGGCCATAACTTCACGTAGCAGTGACCTAGGAAGATGATCCAAAATGTTTCTGAAACTGGACAGTGTATTGTACAATCCTCCCAATACATGTCCATTAAAATTATGCCTCCTTGATTTGAAATTAGCAGGTGAGTGCCATCAGACGTGGTGCATCGGAACTGTTAGGCGTAATCTCGTTTCCAGAATTGACATGACGCATTTCTGGGTTATTGATTTTTCAATTAACGTCAATTAGGGAATGGCTCCGCGGAGCAGCAACGAAGGATGATGGGTCAAAGTTCACCGGAAACTACAAGCCCCTCCAGAGAAGGCCATCCATACACGTCTGTTAAAATTATGCCCCCATAATGCCCATAGAAGGTGTTTCCCAACATCAAAGAGGATGACTTTGCGCTGTATGGGCACTCACCATATTATAGCCAATTAGCCGATATCTTGACGGAGGAGCGACGTCGGAGGACGGGTCAAAGCTCTCCTGACACTGGACGTTGGTGGCACAAAGTCCCGCCATACATGTCCGTTAGAATTATGCCCCCTACATACGGCAGGAGCACAATTTGATGATATTTTGCCTCATCTGGCCCAAAAGATGGGGGTAAGGGTCGAGGCCCTCTACCCCATGTCGAAAGGCTGCCGAAGCTCGGAGGGGACGTCGTTAGAAACATGATCATAACTGCAGTTTGGTTAGAGCTAGAGGTCTGAAATTTGGATCACTGATGGGGGAGGGTGGTCTGCATCAGTTACCCGAATTTGGTCTAGACCACACGGGAAAGGTTTTATTGACCGTTTAGTGTCAGGTGGTCTCACAGCCGGCCCGTTTGAGCTAGGAGCATGAGATTTGGCACGGTGGAGCCACACGGAGGTCTATATCACATACTGGAGAATCGGCTGTGTAGGCCTCACTGCTAGGCCGCAAAGTACATAAAGGTACCTGCGCCCTAGGCCGTGTGACCCAGAGGCTTGGATTTTTTACTATTGCTATGTGACTTTTCTGGTATCATTTTACTAACATAGTAATTTAGGTATTGTTATGTGACTTTTCTGCTATCATTACACTAACTAGCAATTTCAGATTTGTGACATCATTAAGGTGTGATTCAGAACTATTAAGTTGTAGGTGGACTTTAACAATATCACCAATGTATTTTCGAACCCTTAAGATGCCTGATCATTACCAATGTAGTTCAGAATCATTATGTTGTGGTTCAGAATCTTTAAGATACAGGTTGACATTAATAATATCACAACCACTTTTCTAGTGAGCATTATGTGAAATGAATGTCAGACACTGATGAAACAACTAACTTTTATTTATCACAGATCAAAGAAGATAATTTTGATGTGTAGGCACTCAAGCAGTCGGCACAGATTGATCCTCATGCCTGAAATTTAGACAGACAGCAGACACATCAATCACCAGTGACAGCAACCATAACAGTAAAGTGATAGTAGTGGCAGTAGCACATTAGCTGTTTCAATGTCTTGATGCAGCTTACTTTTTTGTCTTGTTTATGATATAGGAGATATCACACAGGCTAATCTTTATCCGTTTCATCGCGTCTAGCAGGTGAGGATAGCCTTTCGCATGATGATGGAGCTGAAAGGTAAGTATTTAATCAGTTTCATGTTTTTAATTTTTTAAACAACCAATGAAATTAAGTGAAAGTCTTCTTACAATTTTCTCATCGATTGGCCGAGTCCACACTTCAAGGCAAATATCGGCCAGGATGGAATTCAATCTTTCAGTCGCTACCTTAAATGAATCACGACAAACATATCTTTAATAACAGCATAAAAATTGATATATATATATAATTTTCTTATGTGCATGTGTTTTTGTGCAATGCCTCACCAGCTTGCCTTTTTATAATCTTGCAGATATTCTTAAGGTATTGTGATGGCATGACAAGAACTTTAATCATATATGTTTTGTTTTACCTTTCCTATGTATTGATGACAATAAATTGTTGTTACTTCAGCTTCTTCATTTACGTTGGTCTTGACACATTTTCTCGATTTCCTGGTTTGTCATATTTATCCGTCATATTTGCCATGATGATGATGATGATTATCTTGGAAAACATTTACATTATAGCATTTCTGTAATTACGTTATCTAGCGTCAAGCTTCATAGCATTGCCGGAATTCCGTTATAGCATTTCCGCAATTACTTGTATAGTCATCTAGCTTCAAGGTTCATATCACCGTAATTACGTTATCTAGCTTCAAGCTTCATAGCATTGCTGCAATGACGTCATAGCATTGCCGTAATTGCATTATCTAACTTAAAGCTTCATATCATTTTTAAATTTCTAAGCATTGGAAAAACATCAATAGACTTTATTATAAGTCAAATGCAATCACATGCCTACACCACTGCACATTTTTAATCTTCATTAGCCTACCAAACATTTCTCAGTCACCGTATTAGACGGGTGCAGCATGTCGCTCGCATTAAAATATTGTATTTTAAGCATTTCACTATGAGATTAACAGTAAGTTGGCTTAACACTTATTGTAGAAGATTAAGTGTTACTAAGGAACATTTTAAGTTTTACATTACTTACCAAAAAATGCTTATAATAATGTTTCAGGTCAGCTTTCCGAAGTTTTTCTGAGTGCCAAGACTTTTATACTGAACTACCGACTCACATGACCAAAGTCTATGAATATATTTGCATATCATGAATAAATCATTGACAGATATGTTTCATTACACTAACTTTCTGGCCTTTGCAATTTCGGAATTGCGATGTGTGGTTTCTGGTATCATCTTACTAACGTAGCACTTTAGGAATTGCGATGTGACATTTCTGGTATCATATTACTTCTGGTATCATCTTACTAACTTCGCAATTCAGGTATTGCTATGTGACTTTTCTGGTATCATCTCACTAACTTAGCAACTTTGGAATTGTGACGTGTGTTTTCTGGTATCATCTTACTAAGTTAGCAAACCCGGAATTGCGACTTGTGTTTTCTGGTATCATCTTACTAACGTAGCAGATTAGGAATTGTTATGTGACTTTTCTGGTATCATCTCACTAACTTAGCAATTCAGGTATTGTGATGTGACTTTTCTGGTGTCATCTAACTAACTTAGCACTTTAGGAAATGCGATGTGTGTTTCTGGTATCATCTTACTAACGTAGCAGATTGGGAATTGTTATGTGACTTTTCTGGTATCATCTTACTAACGTTGCAGATTAGTAATTGTTATGTGACTTTTCTGGTATCATCTCACTAATTTAGCAACTTCGGAATTGTGACGTGTCTCTTCCGGTGTCATCTTATTAACTTAGCAACTTCGGAAGTGTGAAGTATGTTTTCTGGTTTCATTGCACTAACGTAGCAATTGTGGAATTGCGACGTATGTTTTCCGGTGTCATCTTTCTAACTTAGCAATTCTGGAATTTCCGCGTTTCTTTTCCGGTGTCATCTTACTAACTTAATTTTTTGAAGTGTGATGTGTGTTTTCTGGTTTCATTGCACTAACTTAGCAACTTTGGAACTGTGATGTGTTTTACGGTTTTATTACATATGTTTTTGTATGTTACTTTATGATAAGGTAAATATCTATCTCTAATTGATGTGTGTTTTCTGGTTTCATTACACTAACTTAGCAACTTTGGAACTGTGATGTGTGTTTTACGGTTTTATTGCATATATTTATTTATGTTACTTTATGATAAGGTAAGTATCTATCTAATTGATGTGTGTTTTCTGGTTTCATTACACTAACTTAGCAACTTTGAAACTGATGTGTGTTTTACGGTTTTATTGCATATATTTATGTATGTTATTTTTATGATTTATAGGTAAGTATCTATGTCTAATTGCATTTTTATTTTTTCATAGGACGCAACATGGGTCGTAAAAAGGTGCCTTGCCCACTCTGTCATGTATCATATATTAATGTAACAGTACATTTAAGGGATGTACATAAGGTTACAAGCAATGAGGAGCGAAAGCTCCTCATTTCTTGTAAGACGAGCCGGTTTTCTGGTCCACTAGACTGCATGATCCCTGGTTGTCCTTCAAAACAATTGATTCGGCTGGACAAGCACCTCCAACTGAATCATAATAAGTGGTGAAGAGCTAAAGACCATGGTTCATCAAGCCAAATGTGCTGCTGCAAAAACAGCAGTTTTAAAGCATAGAGCAGAATCAAAGGACAAAGATAGCGAGATAGCGCAAATGAAGCAAAATATCGAGGAGCTTGAAAGCCGCCTTGCGGAACTTGAGGGGCAAAATCAGGACACACCAGGCCCCAGTAAAGTAATCCATAAGGTCTTCTTTAATGGTAAGTATAATAATTATTATGACATAAACTATGATATCATGCAGTCATTGTAATCTTCTGTAGTTAACGGCATTGTTAGCGACGCCTAGTATTTTTCTTGTGTATTTCAGTTAACTTTATGCAATCTTACAGAAACGTGAAAAAAATGCTGACTAAATACGTAACCTAATTGTTTTCAAAATGTCCATTGTTGGAAATATTAAAGCTTTTAAAATTAGGTTAAACCAGTAAAAAAGTAAATCATGTCACCTTTGTTTTAACTGCAACGGGGGCGTGTAATACCGCTGCCACCAAAAGATCGCTATTCACATTATAAATATCTACATTATAGATGGTTAATTGTGTTCCTTTCTTATAGATAAAGTACTTCCAGATTATCAGGAGAGCTTATTTCATGTCGGTGCCAACAAGAGAAAAGCTCAAAATATGAAGCAGGAATTGGGTTACGTCAAGGGCTTCGTTCAGTTCATGTGGGGCTCTTCGAGTGATCCTGCACCTGCTCACCTGAAATTTCTCAATGATCCAAGTAAATTGAACAATTGGGTGAAGGACTTGTCAGAAAAATTTCAGGTCGCAACCTGCAAAAACTATTTGATTTCAATTTGCAAGTTTCTCCAATTTCTTATTGATAGATGGCCAACAGCTGTCCGTCTTGGACAAAAAGTTTTACAGGGTCTCCTAAGGCATTTAAAAATGCAGAGAAATGCCATATCAAAAGAAATAGTAGGGCACCGGCAACGTGTTAAAGACCTTAAAGCAAAGAGGATGCCTACCACAGATGACCTACGCGAGCTGATCACGGAGCTACGGGGCCGAATTTCAGAATCTCTTGGTAAGCGGGCAGCGTCTGACCCCTGCAAATTACTGAAATGTGGAAATCTTAACTGCATAATTTCTGGTAGTGGGGGGCTGCGTTTGCTGAATTAGCTGCCTCCTGCTATGTCACGATGTCACATAAATGCAGAGGACATATTTTGTTTACTGTGTGCTGTGGTTTGTTAACAATGACCACTAATCACTCATTTTTAAAAAAATATAAAAAATTTAGCTAATGTGTAATGTAAAAGGATGCTTGCTAACATCTTGCAAATAACTTACTATGCTTTGCTCACAGATGAACTATTTGAAGACCGCAGTAATATTAACATGAGGAACCAGGCAATAGGCGTGTTGGCAACATACATAATTATCTGCACCGGGCACCGTGTCAGTGTTCTGGTGAACCTCAAGTGAAGGGTTAGGGGTTAGGGTTAGTGATTAGGGTTAGGTTTAAGGTTATAGTTTATGTTTCAGCTGGTCTAGAAACTGTTTTTTTTTACATTGGCCTCACTGTAGCTGTGCATTTCATTCTAATCTATGCCCGGCCCAACAAGGACATCCCCACTTTTGGTCATCATAAATCTCATCCGATGGGGAAGTCCTTGTTGTCCGAGGCGCCGAAAGTGATAGGTCCAGGGAGTGGGAGCTTTACCAGGTCCTGTTGAAAACTTAGACCTTACCAATAGGTCCTGTAAATTTTTATTCTTTCTATAAGCAGCTATCAATTTACATTGCTGAAGTTCCGGAAGGGTTATGGTTACGGTTATGGTTAGTGGTTATGGTTAGGTTAAGGTGAAGATTAATGTTTTAAAATAACACTTATAGGCCCGGTTTCACAGACAGGACTTAAGCCTAGTCCCAGACTAAACTGCCCACTTGAGCTGTCTTAACTCAAAGTGACTTGCACAGATATAAATTAAAATAGTCACAGATTTAGCCTATTCTGGATTAAACAAAGCTGATTGCAAGAGGGAGGATTATAGTTAGTCTATGACTAAATTGAAGCTTAAATTAATCCTTCAAGGAGGCAGGTTTAACTCCTGCTTAGCACTGTTTGTGAGGGGAGCATGGAATATTTGGAATATCTAAATGAAAACCAACGTGCACAACAGAGGCCTGCAAGAGTACTTTTGGATAGGAGTGATCCATTACATTACTTTGATGACACAGCTTTTCAAGACCGCTTTCGCATGTACAAAGAACATGCATTGGAGATAATATCTTTGCTATAACCTACACTTTCCTGTCTGTCTCTGAGAGGAAGGCCTTTATCCAGTTCTCTGCAAGTTCTGCTCACATTGAGGTTTTTGGCATGTGGGACCTTTCACCGTGAAACTGGTGATTTGTGTGGTGCCAGTGAAGCAACTGTGTGTAGAATAGTTCACAAAGTCTGCAGAGCCATTTGTGAACTGTGGAGTGTTTACATAAAGTTTCCTGATGCTGCTGACCAAGCCAACTACAAAGTGCAATTTTATTAATATGGGCACTTCCCAGGTGTCATTGGCTATATAGATGGATGTCATGTTCCCATCAAGTGTCCATCAAGTCCTGATGCTGAGGAGTACAGGAACTGTAAGAACTGGTGTTCAATCAATGTTCAGGGTGTATGCACACCAAATTTAGAGTTTGCAAACATTGTAGCGTGTTGGAAAGGTTCAACTCATGATTCAAGGATTTTTCTCAACTCCTCATTGTGTGCTCAGTTTCAGAGGACAGCATAGTGAACTTCTACTTGGTGACAGTGGATATGGTCAGAGTAACTTTTTATTCACTACATACATAAATCCCACGACAGTGGAGCAGCGAAGATACAACAGAGCTCATATCTGAACAAGAAGCATGGTTGAACGCATGTTTGGAATATGGAAAAGTCGATTCCAGTGTTTACGCAATACACTTCGTTTCAGCCCAAGAAGATGCTGCAAGGTCATCATTGCTACAGCGGTGCTGCACAACTACCTGAAGCAGCGCTGCTGTCCTGATCCTCCAATGGAAGATTACGATGAAGCAGATGTGGCAGTGGCTGAGGCAGCCAATGGCCAACGAGGACTTGCACATAGAGCTGCATTCACATTACAGCACTTCAGCTAGATAAGATGAATTTCAATATGGAAGGTATTTACTATGGCTTATTTTTCCTTGATAATGTTCTGTACAAGATTAAAACAGTGTGCAGCAAAATTTACCAAGTCACTTAAACAATACTGGTTGAAAATGTAAAATAAAATACTTTCACTCATAAATATGTAAATAACACATTGTTTATTATTCTTTTTTTCCCACATCTTTTACACACCATGGCTTGTAATCACAGCTGTCTCCTTACTGTATCTTTTTTGTATCATACCTTTCTTACAACTTCATATCCAATTAAACCTGTAGAATTCTCATTTTCATTTCATGCCTTCATAAATTAAATTTTTTGCTCATGAAATTCTCTGGCTAACTTCATGGATGGTCATCCTGCTTGCTCTATTCTGAAAAGTGGTGGCAGCATCATTTCTCAGGGATACTGGAGCAGATGTGGAGGGCCCACACTCACTGTGCTCTGGCTCTTCCAGCCTGTTCAGATCCCTCTGTTCTATGGGGGAAAAAACACAGAAGCACAAATAAACTCACATGATCCTTAAGTCAGTCATTCTTGTTCTTTCAATTCGTATCACGAAGCTGTAAAAATATATTTAGTTTCTAGCTATATATATTTGAAAAGTAGACCATCCAAGGTTTCTGAGAGTATTTTTAAAATGTGTATATTTAAACGGTTTTGCGAAATTTCTGTCAGATCCCGCCGGCGGGACCGCCGACCCCAAGGGGTTAAGTTTAGGGATCGGAGGTGGGTTGGGGGTTAGGGCAGGAATATGGTTGTAGTTGTGATTTGGGGTTAGGGCTTGGAGTTTGAGGTTATGGTTTTGGTAAGGGTTAAGTTTAGGGACTGGAGATGGGTTGGAGGTTATGGTAGGAGTTTATGGTTAGGAAGGGGTTGGGAGGCCCCCATGTCGCCTGAATGCACTGGCCATCTAATACCATACACTCGACCAGGCCCCAATAAAGACAAGTGATGTATGGTATTTGATCTCTGATCTTTAAGGCCTATCTAATTTCCTCCCATCTGTCCTTTTAGAAAGCCATGTTCGGCCTAACAGGTTTGGTGTGACCTCAGACATGGTTGTTTGGCGTCTGAGCCTGCCCTTAAAAGTATCCATCTGTGATGGAGCTGGCGTGATGACACTAGGCCTGATGGCCTGGCAGGCCCGTGCAGGAACCCTGCAATGATCGCTATTTTGTGAAGGAGGTGGCGTGCTATAACCAGAAATGGCATTAAGTTTGGTCTGTCTAGCAGCTTTAAGGCCTGTGACCTGAACCGGACTAAGGTTGACGCTCTGCGTCTTTGTAGGGTTGGTCCGGCCAGTGCCCCCCTGGACTCCAACCAGGATTAGGTCCTGGTCAGCGTCAGGGTAAATATGCAAGGCCTTCCATGGGCCTTTAGGGGTGACCTGCACCTTTGGGGGACTGTTCTGGACCTGAGAATGGATACCTGGGGAGGGAATAAGGAGGCCCAGGAGAGTATCCAAAGGGCTTTCCATAGATTCCTCTATCTCAGGGGATGTTTGTCCTGCTAGGTCTGCAGTGGTGAAAGTCATTGTTTGTGGCCTCTCTATTTCAGGCTTAGGTGTTGTGACCCGAGAACGTGGACTCATCTCCACCTGTGCCATCGTATTTCAGAGGGCAATTATATTAGATACCCCGATCTGTGGGAAGACTACGGTCATGTTACAGGGGGGATGGACCCAGATAGACCCATGCCTAACTGTTGCCTTGTGCACAGAAGTTGCGGTCTAACCCCAACCTAAAAACCTACCCTGCCAGTGCCATCTGGGTCATTCAACATCCTCCTACCTCATGTACCGTGTCAGTGCCTACCGTGCTATCATCCCTCCCTCGTATGGGGGAGGACGGCCGTGAGTTGTTCTGGGAGACTGGTTCATCTGAGTTAGCTATGGGCCCCTCCTCCAGAGTGGGCCATGCATCCTTTAACATATCAAAAACCTCATCGCATGTGGCCTGCTTGAGTCTCCTGCCCATGTCCCTTCTGGCCCATTTGCTGGCTAGCTGGAAGCAGTCCTCCCAGTTCTGAGGAGGGAAGTCATAGATTTCCAGCATAAGGGCATCTATTGCATTGAAATAATGCTGGTAAAGGAGTGCCATGGTGGTGTCAGCCCACTTCCTGGCATTGTCTTTAATAAGGCCTTGTGTGTCAGGGTTGGGCAGGGCGGGCTGAATAATTTCGGCTAAAAACTTTTGCAATTTATTAATGGCAGGGGGTGGACCCTCTGCAATATTATTCTCATGGTGAATGATTCTAATAAGTTTAAGGATGCACCTAGTCCTACGGATAAATTCTGGGTCATGGGGATGTTGTGGTTTACAAGGCTTCCTCTCCCTGTAGTTGCCAATGACAAACTGTCACTCTGTCTGCAGTGCTATACTTATAACTGCCAGGGGCGGGGCTTAGGCGCATCTTTTAAGGAGAGCCAATCAGTGGCCTCAAAATTGTTTTTTGTCATAAAAATTGCTTTAAATTGTTTTCAGAATTTACAATTAAATTCCTTTTATTATTGTGTTATATTTTATTGAATTGACCATTTAGAAATGGTTTTAAAGCAAATTATTTAGAAATAAAGAGGTTTTTGCTAAAAGTTAAACCCAGAAAGCAACCAGCTTAATTTTAAATGTTGTGAAGCTGCACCAGCAGTAGCCACAAATATTTATAATGGGTTACAGGATATATATAGTGGACAAGGCGGAGGGCAACAAAAATAATATCTGGTCGAGTCATTGGCATGAGGCACGGGCTGGTTAGGGGAAAATGAAGGTTAGACATGGGGGTATGTTTGGGGGTAGGGTTGTGGATAGGGGCAAGGATTTGGTAATTGTGGTAGGGGTAGAGAATGGGGGATAGAGTTTGCAGTTTTAGGGTTAGGGAAGGGGTTTGAGGTTAGGATTTGAAGTTTTATGGTTAGGGAAGGGGTTAGGGCCTGGAGTTTTAGGGTTAGGGAAGGGGTTTGAGGTTAGGATTTGAAGTTTTATGGTTAGGGAAGGGGTTAGGGCCTGGAGTTTTAGGGTTAGGGAAGGGGTTTGAGGTTAGGATTTGAAGTTTTATGGTTAGGGAAGGGGTTAGGGCCTGGAGTTTTAGGGTTAGGGAAGGAGTTACGGTTAGGTTTTTGGTAAGAAACGTTTTAATGATCTATCATAGATGTTTATGGTGCACTGGCAACATTAAAAACTTTTTCCTGTTTTTCCCTTTATTTTTAGGTTACCCTGGTAGAGATATATTTGTCCCAGACCGAAGCGGCGGCCACGGCGGAGTCGGCGGAGGTGGAGACGACACCAAGGTCACTTAACACAACAAATCACAAATATATAAATAAATAAAAAAATAAAATAAAAAAATGGTTAGGGGTTAAGGTTAGGTTTATGAATAGGGATCAGACCCATAACTGCACCCTGCCATCCCAGGGACACAGTAATGCACTGGCTAATCAATCGGGTTCATCGGTGCATCAGCCCGCTTACGCACCGACACATCATCCTTTTAAACAGGGTTAGGGTAAATATTAATGTTTTAAAATGACACTTATAGTGTTTTACGGTGCACTGGCAGCACTATTACCTTGTCCTAATATATTCATTCTTTTTTAGCAAGGGGGAAAGACCCTTTGATGCGGGTTACTCTAAATGGTAATTCCATTATGGCAAAGTCATTGAAAACTACAAACAAGAGGTAAAAGATTTAGAAAATTTTGTGCGATTCATGTGGGGCAATCAGGATGAGCCACCACCGGCCCATGTAAAGTACATCGCTGACCCCTCCCAAATTAACAACTGGATGGAGCATCTCAGTTCAAAATTTAAAGTAACCACCATTAAAAACCACCTAAATTTATCCAGTTCCTGGTCGATAACAGTCTACCCTGTGTCCGACTAAGCCAGAAAAGGCTGACCGGCATAACCCGGCACATGAAATTCCAGATGCAACTGGTCACCAAAAAAATAGTCGGACACAGGCAGACTGTTAAAGACAAAAAGACAAAGAGGATGCCCCAACGGGGAGACCTAGCAGCTCTGCTCACGGAGCTGCGTGGCAAGATTCCCGACTGCCTAGGTGAGTCGATACCCGTCAAATCTACACAATTCAGTTTGATTTGTTTTTGCATAGAGCCTTTCACAACATAGTTATCCCGAGGAGCTTTACATGGATTTGTTGTGATACATTGCAACATCATTAGAGAGAGTAATACAAAATGGGGAAAGTGCACCGGTCATGTTTCCGAGGGCCATGATCACGTTTCGCTTTTTTCTTGAAGATGACCTAGCCGAATCTCCACTGGACATCACAGTTAGAAACAGCTGCGTGGGATGCCTGGTGACATTGCTCTTTGCCATCAGCGGGCACCGCAGCAGTGTCTTAATAAATATGACACTTGAAGAATTCAACGTGGCCCACCCAGAAGGGGACTACATGGTGATCAGTGTGAGCATCCGGAAACCGTGTTGACGTGATATCTTCGAATCAAGTAAAACGTGTGATGAAACTCATATTTTTGTCACACATAGTCTGATGTTCTACACCGTCTCCGGTAACCCGTGTACTCATCTTCACAGGTCGCCAATCACAAAACATCTGGCACCTTTGGAAGGGCAAAAATCGGCCTCACTCAAAGGGAGCATTCGTGGCTGCGAAGGCCACGTCTGCCCGGCTTCTGCCACCAGCCAGCAATATTCTTCTTTGTGGCGTCCGGGCAGCCCTTCCGTAAACTTAATAGTGTGGTGACACAGACCTGCCTCGCATGCGGCCTGCCACGGGGGTTCTCAGTATCGGAGATCCGCACGGGTGTGTCGACCTGCGTAAGTTGTGATTCAGGACGATGCCAAAGTCCGTAGCGCCTGATGATTTGTCACTGGTACGCTAATCGATTTCTCTGTCCCCATTTACAGATCCAGCGCAACCTCCCGGAAAAGCAGCGTCAGACTGCTGACCGGTTTTATGTCGCGGAGCCTGACGGTGCTGACGCCTGCAGTGGTCGGGGCCTCCTGCAGACAGCCTTGGGCATGAGCAAGGCTCCGCGCCATAAAACCAATCAGCAGTCTCAGTCAGAGGAGGAAGTGTTCCACTCGCCGAGGAGGCGGTTTAGGTTAACTATCTCTTCCACATCAGGAGAGGATGAGCCCGGGCCGCAGAAGTCAAAGACAAAGCAAGCTGAGACTGTGCATTCTGCTAAGAACAGTGCGGGCTTGCAGATGCAGGTCAGGAAGGACCTGGTTCCGTTGTGCAGCTCAAGCCCCCTCGACCCGGTCCCCTCGGAGAGTGCGGGCTTCATGGAGGAGCTCAGCGGGGGCCTGGTCCCACTGTGCACTTGAAGCTCACTCGACCCGGTACCTTCGGATAGTGCGGGATTGCAGGGGGAGCTCAGCAAGGTTGATGCTCCGCCCTTCATCTTTAGCCCCCTCATCCCAGTACCTCTGGAGCGTTTACCTGCCGAAGAGATGTGTAAGTCACAAAGTATAGTCAAGCAAATATGCAATAGCTGGAAAAATGAAATAGTGGTCTG